AAAAGCCGTACTGGAATCGTGATGAAGTCTGACTTCCGGATTAATAATGTGCGTCGTTGATCGTTACCTTGAGCTATTGGCACTCGCAGAACGTATTTGATGTGCAATATCTGTTATATAGGTAGTTGTTCAGCACTTTTACTAAGACACCGGCTACTGTACCGTAGAAGGAAACATTCCTCCACAAAAGCAGGTCTACTCTTCCTTGGTTCTCCAGATTGCATTTTATCCTCCTGGTTGCTCTAAACGTTTCATTGAACTTGATGAGGTTGCTGAGGGTTCCCGTTCGCATTTCCTGTTTGATCGTTTTATTGGACAAACGATCCTAAAGGCCTTTTTCTTCCTCCTTCGTTGAATGTTAGTCGAACCGACGATAACCCTTATACCATCGAAGCCGATCGATGGCCTGTTCTGAAATGATATTTGATGTTGGTGATAAATGATATGGTTTGGGAGACCAGACGATACCCAGGGTGTTTAAGTTGTTCTTCGCTTTTGACCAATCGCTCGCTATTGTTGTTGTTTCAGCTGTCAGCATCACTGGCATAACGACCTCCAACGAAATCCAGGATCGTTGCTTCTCATCACTGTCGATCACGCGCAATGTCCCCCCCCCTTCCCCAAATTTAAATAGTCTTTCTGTCACCCTTCGCAAACGCATGCTGCCGATCCAGAAAGCACTTCAGGATGCTATGAGAGTGACCACCAGGTCTTAAGTTGTCCGGCTCTTTTCCGGCGTTATCGATGGACCAAGGTGGCAATGGTCCTCAATGTAATGGAGGTGACTTTGTGTAATGGACGTCTCAGCACGATTTTAGCCAATTCAATTGCTGTGCTTTAGAGAACTGAATGATGTTGCAATGGGCACGGACTGCGGCATTGGATATATCACCGACAAGTTGTGTTCGCTAGATGATTTGTAAAAAATTTCATCTTTCCTCACACTTTTGACTACAGTACCATGCTCAAACGAGGATGGGGCGGATGGCAGTCTGTGTAACTCGACATCATCGTCAAAAGGAACTCCGTCAATTTTTATAGACTTAGGAAAATTCATTCTTAGACTTCCATTAGGAAGGATGGAGGAGCAAAGGTATTTGAAGACAATGCTTTCTTAAAAGGGAGTGGCTCAAAGAAGGAAGAGATTTCGGGATTTCTCATTTTCCAGGATATCTTCATCTTGGGAAAATATTTCAGGTGATGACTAATTTAACTGCTGCAATGAAGTCATGAATTCTGTTGTTGACTCAGACATGCTCCGCTATGCTTATGAAGAGTGGGTTGGACGATTGACGTATGCAGGAAGTGTTTTAGCCACAGCAGTTCTTCCAGTGCATTATATCAATGACTAAATAGGTTATATCAGGCGAGTTGTGCCCGGCTCCGTCTTGAGCAGCGTTCGTGCATTTTCGATGCGAAAAACTTTTCGTTTCAAGTTTTCAGTTCTAGGCCCATTACTGTAACTGTTATGAACTTGACTATCACAATTTAAAGGCCTACAGCAAAAGTTTGTGTTAAACATTTAAAGGAAATAGATATTTATCTGCTTACGTTCATTTGCTGTCTTTTTTTGTCTGTTATGAACTTTAACGTAAGTAATGACGGTAGGATCAAAGCTTATTATGATTATTATGCAATTTTTATATTCAGCAATTTTGCCAAGTTGGTAAATTTGGCTTTTATTTTAATTTCGTCTTTTGATATGTTATTTTATGCCGTTTTATGTTTCTGTAGAGCAGTAGCATCCTGCAGGGACCGTGCTTAAACAGCGGAGTTTCAGATTTTCAACTTTGGCTACAGAAACGGTTGAATTTATTTATAGAAAGTCACAAGGTGAATGCAGCATTAAAAGGAGTTGGTTTGGGCTGGTCTTCCCATTTCTATTATCCAATCAATAAAACGTAACCTAGCTGGACAAAAATAGAAG